GTATATACTTTGAATACGTATGATCAGTTCAAATGGACTGACATTTTCACTAATAATTTTCTGTTCTTTATTTCTGAGAATTGCCCGTTTCTTATTTCTGAGAATTGCCCGTTTCTTATTTCCGTGAATTTCCTGTCCCTTATTTTCCATTATTTTCCCTTATTTTCGGTTTATTTCGTAATCCATCTCCATCATTTCGGGATTTCACTCATTCAAGTTATTATGTACTCCCAATTATAAGCAACATATGTTATGTTATATAAATATTAATAATGGCTAATCCTGAATTATCTTCATTATCATTATGATCTATAAATACGTACTACACACATAACTTGTTCAAAAAAAGCCTTGGCACATGACTTACATTGCCTATATTACAATATTAACGTTAAGCTTTTCGTGTGGCTTAACATCATTCGATCCGTCAAAATTGCATGTCTATCACCTAGGATGACAATTTAGCACAATATTATTTGTAAGAATCGCTATTTAATGTTAGTGTTAATGTTAGCACTAGAATTTGAATGTTTCGATTTCTTTCGATTTCATGTTACATCTGTTCTTGAAATTTAATTTAACAGGATAGCGAAATTTTTTAGGTTAGTGATGTTAGGTGAAAGTTAGAAAATTTCATAATTACGGATATATTTCTTTATACAGTTAGGTTTGTTTTTTATGGTTAGGTTTGTTTTTTATGGTTATCTTTACATTTTCTAATCATTTTCTAATCATTTTCTAATCATTTTCTAATCATTTTCTAATCAAAATTAATATAATATCCTGTCAAGAATTCGAAACTTGAACAAAGCATAAATTTTCGCAAGGTTTATATTTGACTCATAGATTTACAAGAAAAGTAGCCCGCTGTTTAACTAGTCTCTTCAATTCTAATGGTAGTTAAATTTATTAAAACATAATCACTAATATATAAAAGGCGGATTGTAATAATTTATTATGATTAAAACTCGGAAAGACTAACCTAAACAACTTTTGTTTTAATTAATTAAAAGTAAATTGTTTATTAAAATGCTGTTTCAAACTATTTTTATTACAAGTAAATCTTTACAAGATACGAAACTCACAAAACCGTGTTTAATTCAAACAAATTGTTTTACGTCAAAAATCAGTAAGCTAATTCCATAGCGGTAGGATCAACTTTTAGGGCTTATTCCTTTGAATTTATATCATTGTTCCTTTTTGAGACTAGTTAAAACTTTAGGTACATATACGTAATATTTTATTCATTTGTCGATCATCTCCGTAGTTGTCGTTATTTCTGACTTAGGATGCATAACGGATATAAGAGGATGAGACGAAATGAAAAATGTATTTTTTTTAAGACTCGACTTCTAAACAATTAAATGTCTATTTAAGTATCGTCAAATGAGAAACCCAAGAAATCTTAATATAGATTCCTATATTTAGACTTTCTGGTTTTCACTTGGAGACACTTATTTACAATTATGATTATTGCGGCTGGTAAAAATTTATAATATTGACTAAATTTATATATATTATATATTTTTCTTATATTTTTCTTATATTTTTCTTATATTTATTATATTTTTATTATATATTTGATAGTTTTATTATCATTTTACATAGTTTATATTTTATTTTATTAGTTTTAATTATTTAAATAATAGTTTATTATATATATATTTTATTTATTTATTTTTTATTTTTTATTTTTTTTTTAATATTAATGGTGAGACCATGTCTTTGATTTTATTGAAATTTAATTAAACTTTTTACAAGAAAAAGAGTTATATTTAAATTTCATATTTTAGAATAGCAAGAAAAGAGACTCAGACTAGTTTATCCGCAGCCTAAACCAACTAGGGTGGCCATGGCTCACCTAGATTTGTGAATTATGTAAATTAAATTTGTTTGATATTTGATCTATAAAGAATATCATAACTTTAATTTAGAAATAGCAAGATCTAGAGGTAAATGTTGGGAAAGTTAAGAGAATGGAGAATTGGAAAGGTGAAATGAAGAGGGTAAAGTATTAGAAGAAGGTTGAATTTGAGAGCAGAAAATACAGTAAGGTATTCAAATATTGTGATAAATTAGAGAATTGAGGTGTAGAAAGAATTTAATACAAATTGTCGAGGCTAGTTTTGCTAAAAGAGTAATGTTCATAAGTAGGTTTATAAGATCAATAGGTATGAGGCCAGATAGAGTAAAGTTTAAAGATAGAGTATAATAGTTATAAAAGTTATACTATTTAAGTTTATAATTTAATTGTGAAGTATAGTAATAGATTCTGGTGAAATATTTAGTGATCTTAAGTTAATAATATGTTATAAGGAGCTATTAATTAGATCATAGATAATTTGAGATGATTCACATATAATCCAATATAATAGAGTATTAATTTGGTTGTACAAGTAACAGTTTGGTGTAGATTGGTAATTTCGTTTATATAATATATGAGAAGTAGACAATTCATCAAGAAGAATTTTAATACGAAAGGATTTTAAAGTAGATGATTAAAAGCTATGTGAATAGTTAAAAATTTTTTGATTATTGTTAATATATAGTCATATAGCAGACCAGTTAATATAGATAGTAATTTGAAATCATTGATAAAATCTATATTGAGATGCCTACAAGGTATAGATATTAGCATGACAAATAGTATGGATAGTATATTGGATTGGTAGCTCTAGAGAATACTCATCAAACTAAAGTATATAATTAGGATTGTAAGTATTGTAAGGTTTAAAAATAAGGTAGTCTGAGATAAGATAGTATCGAGCAAGTTGATTAGTATAGTTATTGAATCGATCCTCTTGATGTGCAATAATTTTGTAAAATATAATATGAATGTTATATGATTAGATTAGATTAATAAATGTATACCAAAATATAGAATATGAAGAGTTTGTAAAGGACAAAGAACCTGGTGACTGTATGAGACTGTTGTATCTAAAAATAACAGATTGTGAATTTGTATAGATATGAACGATACAAGATCTTGATACAGTACAAATTGCTGATAGTATAGAAACAAGTTTTGCTTTAAAAAAATATGATCAGTATTTAATTTGGGCTTGAAATTCATATATTATATTGTTCTGATAAATTTGTATCTATCCAATACCTATAAAACAGTTTGGTAAACCAAAATCATGAACAGATCCATCTGTGTAAAAGCTAATTTCAGAGAAATGAGTATTAGAGTTTGCAATGTTTTGAAAAGTATTAGTAGCTAATCTAGGTTCAAATATAGGTGAGATTGAGGTAGTATCAAGATAAATGTTAGATGCAGGTAGAATATGAAGTGGGTGGCGAATAACAATTAAGTAAGTTAAATCTAAAAAGTTAGAATAGAGCTTAATTGTTTTGTGATTGGAATTGTAAATACAGAAAAACTTAGATATAATATTGATAAGAATAAAGAAGATACATTTATTAGCAATAAGATTAAAATTAAAAGAGTAGCCAGAACAAGACTTGATGTCAATAGAAGAAGTTGAATATAGATTAGTCAAATATGAGTAAACAGAGTCTGCTAGTGTATTATGAGTACAGAGCCAGAAGAAGTAGTCTGTCTTCTTGTTTTGTCTACTATTATTTGGTCTTCAATAGTAGTAATAAGCCATAGCTTAGCTTGAAAAGAAAAGTGATTAGTAGTATAGCTAAAATAATTAGTATCAGGAAGATTATAGTGATTGTAGAGTGTTCTATTATTATAGTAATCAATTATTTGATTTTCAAGAATTGTAAACCATAGTGGCTTTCTCTTTCGAAGAATTTTGTAAAATCTAGATACAATATACTCTCAACTAAGAAGACAAAAGTTGTTATATATTGTAAGTTGATCTAAATAAAGGATGTGGTGTTGGTAGAGTTGTCTCTTAAAAGTAGTATAATTAGAATATATAATAATATAGATTTAAAAGTTATAGATTCTTTGTTAGATGTGTATAGAATATCATAATTTAGGTTTTTGATAATTGATATACCAAGATGCTTAAAAAGTTAAATAACTTTGTAGATAGTTTTGCTTATTAGGGTCATCAATATAAGGATTAAGATGTGTTAAGATATTTGTAGCAGACCAAAGATTATTTTGAAGCTGTTGAAGATAGATATGTGAACTAGCATCTAGAAGATCTGAATTGTTAATTTGTTTAATGTAATTTGTAATATAGTGTTGAAGTGAATATTCCAAATATTATGAATATTATAAAGCTGTGAATATATAAGAGTATTTGTAGGGATTGTACGGTTTAACTTGGCTTTGTGCTTGACAAGGCTAATATAGTGTGAAAGTATTTTTTGACAAGTATATCGATTAAGTACAAGATTATGGAATCAGTATTTAATAGTAGGTACAATAACTATATTAATAATATAACAAGTATGGTGTCAATAATATACTTAGTATTCGCAATCTAAATAAAATGTAATGATTCTTCAGTAATGAGTTGTGTTTGCTTTAAAGATTTGTTGTCAAGTATAAACCAATATCTAAGAAATTTAAAAGGTATATAGGGTGAATACACAGATCAAATGAAGACATATCAGGATATATATAGCTAGTAAAATGTCAGATTCATATCGAGATCCCGATATAAATCTGATAGTAGTAAAGGTAAATCAGAAAAATATCAAATAATACAATATTCATATCAGAAAATCAAAATAAAACAAAATTATGCTATAGATAAGAGAAATTAATCAGAAATAAAGAACAGAAAATTATTAGTGAAAATGTCAGTCCATTTGAACTGATCATACGTATTCAAAGTATATAC